ACTTTATCGTCAATAATATTTTCTCAAACATTGAGGGAAAATGAAAGAAGTATCGCCTGAGAATTATAAGCTTTTATAACAAGTTATACTAGAAGTTTTACTCCACACAAGTTAGTGCGAATGAAAAGAGATATTTTGTCTCTATTTATTGCACCTTGAAAATATTTTAATTGTAAATAAAATTTTAAAAATAATTTACTCTTGTTTATTTGGATCTATTTTCAGACATATCGACTACAGTTGAGAAAATATTTTAATCACAATTTATAAAAATAGGTTATCTACCTATTTATATTTTGTACAATATGTAGCTTTTTTGCTTACTTACTATCTTTTTTCATGTTTGGAAAGTTACTGTGTTTGAAAAAGGAAACTGTGAATAAAATAAGCTATACTGGTGAATGATCGGCCTCAAAAACGGTACACCAGCCTAAATTTAATAGTAAATATATGATCATAGAATGAATAATTTACATTCCATTATATATAAATAGAACATTTTATAACATAAGGATAATAAATAGTAAATTTGTTTATGAAAAAAAATTTGAATTAAAATTATTACTTATCTCTCAAGCCCACTCTTAAACCCGTTTTTATTGAATCCGAATCAAACCCTGTTTTTATATAAAAAGCTCAACCTAAACCTTAAGTTAAAGCGAATCGGTATAAATAAAAGGGGTTTCAAGGACAAAAAATTCAATCTATAGACGATCAACGGTCCGGTTCATTTCTTTATGCTTTCAAACTCTGAACCCGAAATCTTTTTTAAATTTTATTACTAAACCCAGACCGGGATATATTTTTATCGGCACACATACCCCCTTGGTTATTAGAGCTGAGCATAGCCTATCCCGGAAAATTAAAAAAAAAATTCAGTCAATTTTTCATATGTTGCACAGCCAGATTCAGTAAAAAAAATTTAAATCATTAATTTGTATTGTTATTTAATAATAGTTCTAATTGTTGTATATAAATGTTTAGCCATTTTCTACATTGAGCTGAACTGGATATTCGGTTCTTAGGTTTAGTTCCTTTTTAAGAATTTAATTAAAGTTTATTTTTATACAAGTTTCCTACTCTATTGATTTGAATAAAAACTTTTCAATTTGAAAATGATTAGATTAGGTATCTAGAGCGAACCCAGAGTTGAAAAATTTTCCCCAAACCAGTAGCAAACCTTTAAGACTCCAAACTCCATGCTCATTTTTCCTTATAAAATAAAAAAATTTCATAAAAAATCATATTAAGATGTTTTAAAAATAATATTTAAAAGGATTTTTAAAAAACTTAATAAAAACTAAATTTATAATATCGGTATCAGATCAAAACTTAAAAAAGAATTATAGAAGATATTTTTTTTAAATTTATTTTTATGTTTGATTTTACACGTTGTACAATTGATTTGCTATTTATTGTTATGATAAAATAAACTTCTGCGCATTAATTTGCATTTGGCAAAAATTTATCCAAATCTAACTTTGTCTTGTCTGGACCAAATCCTTTTAATTCCGAACTCATTAAAAAAATTTGTAGTATCCAGAACACTGGATTAATTAAATGTCTGTGGTACATTTGAAAAGAGGGAGAAATAATCATAAGGATTTAAATAGAAGGGACATATGAGATATAAATAGTGAGTGAAAAGGGGATAATAAGGGATGTACTGTTGGAAGTAACGAGGAAAAGATCAGGAGGCAAGTTGAATAGGTAGAAAATGATATAAAAAGAATAGGCCTCACCAATTGTGATGTATAGTAATAAATTATCTCACTTGAGTCGACTTCAAACCGGCTTAGCTGAGGTTTGTTTTTTGACTTAACCTCAAAGTATCTATTAGGCAATATCCCAACACTAATGCTTAGAATAGTAGAAAATGTTGATAGGGAATTAGAGTAATGAAGACCAGTAATCCGGGCCTATCATTCTTAGACTGGGATCGGACCGACAGAAGACCGTGGTCCAGTTAGTTTTTAATTTTTTCGGTCCAAACCGGTCTTTTATTAATAATATTTAAGTTTGCCTTGATATTCAAGTCATATTAATTTTTTACGAATTTTTATGTATATTTAATTTTATATTATTTTCCTAAAAGAGTTACTTCAGTTTTTGTGTTCGTTTTTCTTTTGTTAGTTCATTTTTATTTTGTAAAATATATGAAATGAAAAATTTGCCAAAAAAGAATTTTACTTTTGAATTAAATATTTGTATTATTTATTATATTATTCATATTTGATTTGATATTGTTAACATAAAATACTTTTATATTTACTAAAATGATAAAACAAGAATTAAATTAGGTAAAAAAAAAACATTTTTAAAATAACAAAAAAAGAAAAGACCGTTCTTTTTCTGAGGGTCCTTCTCCGGTTCAGTATGTATTTATAAGTCCGGTCCGTAACCTTCACTAGATTAGAGAGGTAATTAGCTCCCAAAAATTTGAAAATATTTCTCATCTTTTAGTTTTAACAAAGTCTTCATTTTTCAATTGTTTTATATATAATTACAATTTAATAAAGCATATGGCCCGAAAAAATATTATCAGTGTTACACCTACTTCCTATTTTTACTTTTTGCTGATTGAACATCATGCAAAATGAATTATAAGATAGTGATCTGCATCGGGCCTATTTTTTCTAGCCCGGCCCAGTCCGAACTCAATTTTTTTTGAAAAAATTTATTGGCGTGGCCCGAATTTATTTAAATATAGAAATTAACTTTTATAATTACTCAAAATAAACGATATTCGTTATAAGGGTCTAGTCAGGGTTTCGAACCGAACCGCCAAACTGGAATGAACCGTTATGATTTTCTGAACCGTAACCTTAACTGAACCGTTATAACGAAATTATAAAAGAGCGAACCAAACCGTTATAAATATTTAACCGGTTCACAACGGTTTTAAAAAATTATTAATTTTAAATTATTGACCTAAATTTGAAATTTTAATTTTCCTTAGGGGCATTTTTTAAATTGGTAATTTTTTTTCAAATTAAATATTTTTATATTATCAACATTATATATCAATTAATACCAAGTTTATTGTTTTTTCTTTAAATACTTAATTTATTAGAGATTAGGCAAATTATCTGTTATTAGATAAGATATCAATCACACATAATTATTCTTGGCTAAATTAACAAGTTTATATATATAAGTTATTAATAAGCTTTTATAATAATACTTGCTAATAATTTTAAAAAAATTAAATAATTCTACTATTAATAACTAACATCTAATAGTAATCAAGTATTTTTTACATTCATTTTTATATTATATGGTTTATTTTTTATCTCATTATAAAAACTTGGATCATATAATTTAAATGACAATAAAATGGTCAGCAATATTTTAATGATATAATAATTTTTTATTTATAATATTGTTTTTTTTTAAATTCAGAATTCTAATATTCATTTAGGTCATTATAAATTATTTATTATTAAAATAATATTTTTAACATTTGAAGAAAAAGAGATCGCCAGAAAACATCTTTGTAAAACTTGGAACTTGATACAAAGTCTAAATAATCAAAATATTGAAATTCTAAATACTATGCCTACGTGTTCGCATTCGAAAGATAATTTAGATGATGATTTTGAAGATTTATTAAAGTCGCATGAAAGTCTTAATAAGTAATTCTCAGGGCATAGAAAAATTATAATAAATGTATAGAAATAGAATATATAATTCGGTCATTTGATAATATAGAGATTAGAAAAAGATACTAATCTTTTAAATTATTGGGAAAATGTAAATAGTATGCCAGAACTTTATAAGTTAGCTATGACTGTGCTAGCAGTTCCAGCTACGCAGGTATCCGTAGAAAGAGCATTTCCTAGCCTTAAGTTTATATTCTCTGCGCAGAGAACTAAATTAAATCCTGAAATATTAGAAAATATTTTAGTTATCCGTTCTAATTCTCTTTTTAAACATAAATAGTATACATTTTATTATATTTATGCGTTATTTTATTCATCACGTATTTACGCATGTTTGTTTTTATCTATTTATGAAATAAAAATAATTAATTTGTCTAATTTTTACTAAGTTTAATAAAAATATCTATTAGATTATCATGGTTAAATTAAATAAGAAATTATAAATTAAAAATTAAAAAGATTTTTCCCGAAAATTATTATATACATGGTTAATGATTAATTTTTTTTAAATCAAATTTATAAAAACCGGAACAAACCGAAAAGAACCGTTATAAATTATAAACCGAACCAATATGATTTTTTTTTTAAAAACCTAACTGGAACAAATCCTTTAGAATATTTTAAACTAAAAACCGGAACGAACCGAACCGTTATGCTTAACGGTTCGAAACCCTGGCTCTAGTTTCTATAAATAAAATCAAATATTTTTATTTTACATAAAAAATATATCTAAATTGATAAATTTAGATATATTTAAAAAATTCTAAATCCCGACCTGACCCGGCCGAATTTTCTTAAAAAATATAAGGGGGCCGACTCAGCCCGAACCCGATTTATTTTAAAAAACGGCCCAGATCTCTATTAAGATATATGAAAAGTTTTTAAGAAATCAGAAGGCGGGAAATATTCCATCTTCATTCATATCATATTTTGAAAAATAGAAATAAAAATAGAGACATTATTAAATTATCAGTTAATACTGCTACTGAATATATAACATGTATAACATTAAAGTAGAGGATAAAATAAATATGATTGGTATATATCCTAATTCCATTTATAAAAAGTCGAGGACGAACTAGATCTAGATCTAAAAAAAATTACCGCTGGACTTAGAGCTTGAGAGAGTAAAAAATTGATTTTGCAGGTCTTTATACGATACTTGATAATTTTATTACCAATAATAGATTATTAATGTTAATGAATTGATTTAAAATGAAAAAAATATATAAATTAAATGTTATAGGAATAAATAAAACTAATAATTTTTCCATTTTCAAGACAAATGAAATATTTAATAAGGTTCAACACTTTGGTAGTAGTTAGACATATACGTGTTATTTTTTTACATATCTCGTCATTATTATATTAATATTGGTTTTATGATGGTCATTTTTTATATAATCCATCATAGTTTATTGATTAGAAATGAATATTCAAAATATTCGTTATATTTAGTTGCATATAATCTTCAGCAAATTTGGAATAAAGATTTAATCTATAGAAAAAGATAAATAGAAGTTTATAAATAATTTCATTATTATGACTTTATTTATAGCGAAAAATAATAATAATACTAATCTATTATACATTCAACATTATAACTTGTCGTTTTACATATTAATGTCAGATCACTTGTATTTATAATATAAATCAAGAAAATTTAAGAGTAAACTTTGAAGTTAAAGATTTGACAAGAGATTTATTTTTAGCCCTTTCCATTTCTTCAAGTTGCAATTGTTCTTGTTGTTCCTAAAGATGTAAATTATATCCAAAATTAATATAATTTAAAATATGATAGCAAAAGTAAAAATCATTATCATGGATGTGTAATACCGAAAGGTTTACATTTCTTCTTTAATTTAAATAACTGTAAAAAATATTTCGCCTGATTTATCCTCATGGAAATAAACCATTGACATACCAATTTGTTATTAATTTCAAACCAGTGGCACATCGTTGGGGAATGACAAAATGAGCAGGCCTAAAGAGCTGAAGGCTTTTTGCATTCATAAATGAAAATAAAATTAATTCTTAGAAGGTCTAAATGATGCGAAGCCACTGATTTGTATCGTTGAAAATTTTATATATAGAAATTAATAAATAAATAACCAACTTGAACTATCATTTGATTTCGTTTAAATGCTTCTATAGAGTCTTTGTCATCCAGCGTGTGATAATAGGAAAGAACATCTCTTACATCTTCAACGTTACTTAAACCTATAGCTATTTATTAGGGTAAAAAATATATTAATTTTCAAAAAAAGAATAAATAAATAAATATTTTGCATTAAAATATAATATATATGAGAAAAAGCCATTTCAGATTAATTAGCCATAATTATTGAAGTTTCTAACCCCAGATCTTCGGATTACTAACCCGACATCAATAATACTTGACTAGATGGGTTATTTGAACTAGGTGGAAGGCAAAATATGGAGGGGAAACTCGCTTACCCGGTAAACCCCAATTAAACGATAAAAAAAGAATCTTAGGAGTTACATTATATTATTAACGATTTTAAAAGATCCGTGTACGCATTGCCCTTTAAAAATCGGCTAATATAAATATTACAAGAAAAAAATTTTAAAGAAAAAATAAAAATTATATTTAAAAAAATCAATTTTTATGATATTTAATTCTAAATGATGGGAAATTGCAGCCAATTTTATATAAAATCACGCTAAACTTAAGCATTTTAAGTGGCTATAATATGGTAAGTGGAATATAATTCCCCGGAAAAATATCCCCTGGAAGATAATTCCCCAGAAAAATAATCCTAGAAAAATATACCCGAAAAAAAATTCCCATAGAAAGTTATTCCCCGGAAATAAATTCCCCATTTTTTAGATTTTAAATTAAATATAGAAAATAAATCCCCGGAAAAAATATCCTAAAAATTTTTTTTTTAATTATCTAAAATAACCCCGCCGCTAAAATAACGAAAATATTTCTAAAAAATTATATTCAATGTTTTTATTCTCGACGTTTGAGGATTTTTTTTGAGCATTATTTCTGTATTAATTCTAAGAGATATAACGCAATGAAATATGAGAATTGATAAATCAGTTGGTAGCTTTGATACTTTATAATTTAGTAGATAGCATAAAAAGTATAGATTTATGGCATAGTGAAAAGAAAACATGATAGATTTTTATAGAAATAGATGAAAATTATGGAAGAGGTTCAATTTAAATTGAAAAAAAAAGTGAAAACATTGTTTCATATATCATAAAATATAACATAGTTATTTCTTTTCTGTAAATTTATTAAAAAAATTCATAAGCTAAATAAAAATTATAAGATTTGAAATAATACTCAGTGCTAATAATAACCTCTGAAATAGATGTTCTATGATTAAAATGGTCAGCATTTTTTATTGCTTTTGGCATTAATTTAAATTGGTTAGTAAAAAATATAATAGCAAGTTTTATATTGATTTTGTATTCAGCCAGTTAAATTATTATAGTAGGCATTCCTCAGTAAAATAATTTTATACAAATAGAGGAGACTAGGTTGAATTGCAAATTTCCTATTTCGACCACAGAATTTATATATATATAATTATATCATTTAATAGCTTATCATTAGCATTAAAAACAAAAAAGGGTGCTATTTAAGAGTTAGTAAAAATCATGCTATTATTCTTGCCAACTAATGACAAATAACAAAATTGTGACATAGAACATAATATATTTTATATTCTTAAAATTATCAGAAAAAGACTTTTTATTTAGCTTAACAAAATAATACCAATTGAAAAATTGACCAACTATCTTTGAAGGCAATTGTGAAAAGCCTCAAGCCCCAACTGATTTAAATTTTAAATATATTTCTAAAAACTTCATAGAAATGATTAATATTTTGTATAAATATTTTAAATAAAAATTTGATTTCCAATAAAGATCTAAAAGTTGATGAAAATGTGTAAAGGTGAACTAGATTTATTTAACTTTCGTTTTATTATTTAAAACCTCAAATCTTAGATGGAATTAAAATTTAAAAACATTTTGATTTAATTAATGCAAATCCAAGTCAAAAATTGTATAAATCCAGGCCAAAATAAAAAATCTGGCTGGCCATTATCATTACTTAGCTTATTATAATATTTTGCTTAATATTCCAGAGACTAGGTATCCAATTCGTTTATTTTATAAATATTGTTTTGCTTAATTATCACCAAACCTGAGTTAGGGATAATTAATAATAATTTAAAATCTGGTTAGGTTTAATAATAATCACTAGTTATTATTCATTATTTTGTTTAATAATTTTATTTGGGGAATTTTTATTTGGAAAAATATTAGGAATTTATTCCTGGAGATTTTTTTTCCAGGGAGTAATCTTCCAGGGAATTTTTTTTCTAGGGAATTATTTTCCTAGATTCCTATAATATATATACATGTAATTGGCCATAGCCCCTTTTAGTTGGCTATGCAAGACGTATTCCTATCTATAAAGAGTTGTTTAATTGTCATGTATAATATTTTAAATATATATACATTTTAATTATTATATAAATATGAAATTCATTTTTCATAATTAACATTATCTTTTAAAAAATTAATTATTTAAAGAAAACTTAGTTAAATGTAAAAATATATAAAATGAATTAACTTCTGAGCATTTGGGCCAAATCAAAGAGTGTTCGATCATCGTCATTTCCACCCCATTTTGGAATTCTAACAGCATTTGCAGGCTGCATCTCAACAGCTTTAGAATTCCAATCTACCATAATAACTTTGGACAAATCTCGATTCAAACAAGATAAATCCTGATATGTATCATTTTTAATATAAATTTTTAATGTTTTATTTATTAAGGGCTGTGCCAATCTTAAATATTGCATCGGGTCCAATATTTACCCCTTTCTGAAAATAAAATCAGACCAATATTTTACAAAAAACCATGAAGAACACAAACCAAATGGCAACCCATCAAACCCAGTGTATTTTCAAACAAGGGTAGGTTCAGACCCCCTTCAGAAAATCGGTTTTAAAGTTTCTGCTATTAAAATTTCTTTTATAGTTTAAAAGCTCAAATTAAGGTTCAAAATCCTGCCTTTACCATATATTAAATCTCAGCATCAAATATATATCAGATGAAAATTTTCATATCTCTTTGAGATCACAATATATAAATAAATTTTTTAATTTAACATTTTTAATATAAAAACATTTAATGCTTCAGATTTGATCATAAATTTGGTTGTATTTTAAATTAATTAATTTTGGGGAATAAATAAATAATAATGCCTCAAATATTGCCTTGGCCATGAGAAACAAAATTTTTTAACTTCTTTAACAAGCCAGGTCTGACATTTCTTAAATTTTTAATGGCCAGACAAATTTTAAAAAAATATAACAGACCAGCTTTGCAAAATATTTAATGGGCCTTGTAACTTGTGCAAAAATTTTCAAAGGGCCAAAGTTACAGGTTTTGCAGACCTTTAATAGGGATAATAATAAAAATTATCTTAAGACTTAACTTAGAATGAAATAAATAATAAAGGAAGTGGGAGGATAATCTTCAAATTATATTAATTGACAAGTCAGTGCAATAAGTAAACTTAAAAAATATCAAAATCTAAAAATAAATTATAACCTTGACATGGTAACCATTTTGATATCTAGTTGCGTCTCTAAATAAACGGTACATTATAAAACCATGTGGGTCCAAGCTATCTATAACTGGAAAAGCTGTCTATTAATTATAAATTAATATCTCAATATAGTTATATTATTAAAATAAAATTAAACACTAATAAAATAAGACTTACAAATCCTTGTTCAGCTGTATATATGACTACCTCAAACAGTGGAGGACCTACTTGTTGCAAAAAAAAGTCAACACCAGGTCGTTTTTTAAATCTCCAACCTGTGCCATACTATATAATATATATAATTATATTATAAGAATGTGCTATATACTGTCCATTCTGGGTGTACTAAAACATCTGTTAACTCTAAAACTAATGTGTATGGAGGTTGAAAATATGGTTCTGTTAAGGGGTCTGGTAATAGTTTTTCCCTAGAAGGCTCTTTGATTACCTAAAAATTATAATAATATCAATCAAGTATATGTCTACCTTCTCATAGTAATTAATTTCATTCCATGCTCTTAATAAATAAGCTTTCCATATTGGCACTAAAATAAATTTAGAAACAATTAAGTGCTATATGTATACTTTGGCTATAACTATCTTCAATCTAAATAAAATGTATAAAATATATACTTAAGATAAATTTTACTATATTGCCATTCTTGTCTTTTGAAGGAGGGCCTGTTATTAATTATATTAAGCACAATAAATAAAAATTAAAAATACCAAATGTATAAATTATGAATAAAATTGAGCCACTTATCATAATTGATAAGGATATAAATGAGTACTTCATCATTTTTATTGTCCATGCATCCCGTATCTTTTTTTCTTCTTCATATTGTTTTTGATCATTGTTTGATTTAGGATTTGATAATTGATCAAATATATTTATTCTTGGAGCTTGTGTTTGATTGTAAAAAAGATAAGAGGTGGAAAAATTGGCAGTAATTGTTAACTTCTTATAATTATCGAAACCATAATTTGCAACTTCTTTATTTGGCTTAAGTTTAAATAGCCCTCGATATACAGGAGTCATATATTTTAAATTCATTTGGTTGGTAGCTCACAGCTAAACGACAAATGATAGAAATTTTTTTTATAGAAGTTCAGCATTTTTAAATAAATTTTAAATTGGTCTTTATTCGGGCATCTGCATTTTTTGGCTTTGGAGGGGGGGGGGGTTCGTAACTCTGTCCCCTCCCCGCTGCGTACGCCAATAAAACTATGATAAATCTGTAATTATGCCACCACCTCATGCACCCCCTTTGGGCGATTGGGTGGTAGGGGGAAAGTTGGTTAAGGTTGTGTCCTCCTATAAATATCTTGGGGTCAGCATAGATAATAGAGGTAGCTGTAAAGATGAACTAAAAATCAGAATTCAAAATGCAAGAGTGGCTTTTTACAAATATTTGAAACTGTGGAAATATAGGGAGATATCGGTTTACACTAGGTTAGGAATCGTTAATTCCACCATCATTCCAATTCTCCTTTACAGCGCTGATAAATGGGAGATAACAAAGATAGAGACCAGGAGATTACAGACGTTTGTTAATAAATGTCAGAATAAAAAATGGCATCTTTTACCCCAACATTATCTCTAATGATAACCTTTGGAAGAGGTCACGCCACACTCAAATACATGTGACTTTAAAAAAGAAGCGCCTCACCTTTTTCGCTCATATTCTAAGGAATCATACAAATAATAGCCAGGTCTTCGAGGCCATAAATTGGTTATATTCCTTCAACGGCAAGATTTATGGTTCTATAGGGCAATAAAGGACATAATGGATTTAAACCTAAATACGAAACAGTTTCTAAGGCTGAATAAGGATTTTTTTTTTCTCTTTAGCTTTCACCTTTTCTGGTGGTAAGCTCCTTCAACATCTCTCTCCACTTTATGTTATTCGTACAATCTCTTTTATCTATTTTATACTTCTTTATATTGGCTCTAACTTTATGGCCCCATTGAAGTTTTGGCCTTCCTCTTTTACGTTTGCCCATCACTTCCAATCTTTCAACTTTATTTCCTATGTAGTTCATAGGCCTTCTCATTGTGTGCCCATACCACCTAAGTCTATTTACCATTAACTTAGTCTTAATGGGCACTACCTTTAAACTATTTAGTATTCTTGTACTGCGCACCTTATCCTTTCTTGTTACCCCAGCAATACCCCTCAGCATTCTCATCTCCATAGTTTGTAGACTTCTCTCGTCTGATTCTTTGGTTGGCCATGTTTCCGAACTATATAGAATAGTTGGTTGTACTATGGAACTGTAAATTTTTCCCTTTAATTTGTGTGGGATTCTTTTGTCAAATAGCACTCCAGATAAAGATCTCCACTTTAACCACCCTTGATTAATCTTATTCTTTATCTCTTTTTCTATTGTGCCGTTTGTTTGTATAGTGGAGCCCAAATATTTGCAGCTTTCAATTGCGGATATCTGCCAATCATTTATATCAATACTCTCCGTTTCATCTCCTCCTATCACCATATACTCCGTCTTTTCTCTATTTACTTTTAATCCGTGCGTTTCTAGGATATTTATCCAATTCACTAACCTTTCTTTCATTTCATCCTTGGATTCGGCAAGTATTACAATATCATCTGCAAATATCATATTCCACGGGACTGTTTGAGGTATAGACTGTGCTAATACATCTATTACTGTAATGAAGAGAAGTGGGCTGAGAGCCGACCCTTGATGAACTCCTTCGGCTATTGTGAAGCCTGCTGAAGTACCTGTTGTGCTACGGACCATTGTTGTATGTCCCATATACATATCCTCTATTATTCTTATATATTTTTCGGGAAATTTTTTGTGGCGTAGCCCCCACCAGATACGTTTTCTTGGGATTCTATCGAAGGCCTTTTCTAGATCGAGAAAGACCATGTGTAGCTTTTTGTTCTTTTCCCTGTATTTTTCACTCATTTGCCTAATTGCATGGATAGCATCGGTTGTTGATCTTCCAGGCATAAAGCCAAACTGTGTCTCTCCTATTTCGATTATATCTCTTAATCTTTTTTCTATTATTTTTTCGTATAGTTTTAGACAGTGTGACATTAGTTTTATGCCCCTGTAATTTTGACAATTGTGTGGATCCCCTTTATTTTTGAAGATAGGAACTAGATAGCTCTGCCTCCATTTTTGGGGAACCTCTTCATTTCCAAGTATTTTATTGTACAGATTTGTGAGGAGATGTATTCCATCATCTCCTAGTGCTTTAAGGCTTTCTATTGGAATATTGTCTGGACCCCTAGCTTTGTTGTTTTTCATATGCTTGAGGCATGTGATTATTTCTTGTTCTGTTATAGGTTGTACAAGGTTTTGACAAGGGAAGTGTTCGTCGAGATGCAATATGTGGGAATTAAAGTTGAGAAGCTCCTGAAAATATTCTTTCCATCTATTCATTATTTCTTTTTCCTTTATTATCAATTTCCCATCTTTATTTTTGATTACTTTCGGAGCTCCGTTTATATCCCTAGAGTTCTTTTCTCGCTGTTTGGCTAATCTGTATATTTTATTTTGCCCTTCTTTGGTATGTAGATCTTCGTACATGTCATCGTATGCCATAGATTTGGCCCTAGCCACCGCCTTTGTAGCTAATCTCTTGGATTTTTTGTATCTTAACTTGTTATCTGCATTTTTGGATTTGTACCATATTTTATAAAGGGCTTATTTCTCCTGTATAGTGGTTTGTACCTCTTGATTCCACCACCATAGTTCTTTGTGTGATTTGTTGCCTCCTCTTGTCAAGCCTAGCGTCGATTTTGCAGTGTCTATTAATCTGGATGAAAGGTCTGTCCATATTTTTTCACTGACTTGTGAGCAATTTATTGTTTCAATGTTTGCATTGATTGCAAAGGCATCTGTCATTGTTTTTAATTTGCCCCATTTGATGCATGGTTCCAGTTTTATCTTATTTTGAGTGGATTTATTTGAGATTTGTAAATCCATGATTAGTAGCTTGTGTTGCGCGGCGATATCTTCTCCTGGGATGACTTTGCAGTCTATTACATCTTTTAATCTTCTGCGAGAGATTAGCATGTAATCTATCTGTGTTTTCCTAGTACCACTTTCATATGTTATTAAATGACTGTCTTTTTTCCTATAGTAGGTGTTGGTTAAGGCAAGGTCGAAGGCTTGCGCAAATTTCAGTACGTGCTCTCCTTCATCATTTCTTTCTCCGTATCCAAAACCACCATGATGCCTTTTGTAGCTATCTCTTGCTTTCCCAACATGCGGATTTAGGTCACCACCAATTATGACTAGGTCATCCTTAGGGATTTCCATTACAGCTTCATCAAGGATAGCTCTAAAGTCATCTTTCTCTTCTTCCTTGCAACCCGTTTGAGGAGCATATACTGATAGGATGTGTATTATTGATTGACCAATGCAGAGTTTTATCTTCATTAGTCTATCAGAGATCCTGTTGACTTCTACTACTGAAGAGGTTAGGTCTTGGCTGAGGATGATGCCGACACCGTTCCTATTGCTAACAAGTCCATTATAGTACAATTTATACCCATCTCCAATCATCAAAGTTTTCTGTCCTTTCCATTTCGTCTCTTGTATGCACGCTATATCAACTTTTCTCCTGTTCAACATTGATGCCAATTCTCTCGTCTTACCTTTAAGCGTCCCAATATTCAAACTTGCCAGTCTTGTCTTCTTTGCTTTGACCTTTACTTTATTTTTCACAGGATGGAGGTCTACACCCTGCGCGTCGCATGGAGGGAACGCCCTAGCTTTCATATTCATATTTTCATTTGTGTCCTTCATTTTATTTATTGGACAGGTATCCTTAGCACCCGGCTGTCCAGGCCTGTCGGTGACCGGGGTGTCATCTCTAAGCTCCGAAATTCATCATACCATATGTCTTTACACATCAGTCATCGAAGAAAAACTTGAAAGTTTTTATGGTTCTTACCAGGATTGAACCCGCGTCCTTGTTCATGCTCGTGTTTCCAAGCCTACATCTTACCCATAAGGATAAGAGGTCGATAAAGAAACTATTAAAGATCAAATCAAATTATTTAAATCTACCATAAACCCCTCCTAGAAACAGGTTATTTTTTACTTTTGTTTAATTTCCTTTCTTTTACTCTCGCTTCTCATCCTTTATCTGACTTATTTTTCCTTTCCATTCATTATTTAAATTTCCCATCATATATCTGATGCACCATGTGATTAAAACAGGTCATCCTTTACCTTTAAAGTAATTGTATATAAGCATTTTATGGGTGTGGACTGTGCTTATTTTTGACCATTCCCAATCAGCCCATAGACGTTTAGGTAATAGTCCTAGGACTATTACTCGTACAAGTACGTGCGGCCTGCCCAATTCCCATTTTAATTTGTCCAGTTAGATGGATTCTGAGGAAAACCTAACGTCGCTCCGTTGTATCCACAACTAGAGTGCGAAAACGTTCTATATCACGTATCACGTAAATAAATTTTAAATTGGTCTTTATATGTACGTTAATTTTTTAAATTTATACAAATCAATTATCTCAACAAACTCTTTTTTAAAAGAGCAACTTAACCCATTTTCTTCGGTCGGGTATATCCTTTTTTGTTATTTGTTATCGAATAAGATAGTAATAAACAGTGGCATCACTAGGGGGAGGGGCGCAGAGGTTCGAGCCCCTGAAAAATTTGAATAGCCCTTTGAAGCAAATAAATATTTTTTTTAATAGTATCTTAACCCCTTGAACTAAAAATAATTTTTGATTGCCCTCTGAACGATTTCTTTTATAATTCTATTAAGTAATATATAGACTTCATTTTATTATTTAAAAATTAATAAGACTGTCTAAATATTTATTAAATGAATACTATTTTACATATTAGATTATATTAATACATATAAATTATATTTTCACTCTGTCAGCTTGCAATCAAATTTTGTGTTGATAGAATATCAATATCACTCACTAAATATTAATTTAGCATTACCGTCTCAATTGACTATTATTATTTAAATTATTATATAATCCTAATTAAATAAATATAATCATTTATTAATTGAAAACTAAAAAATTTAATATTGTTATTAACCGA